GCTGCAGCACATAATTACAATCAGTTAAAAAGATTAGCTTGCTGGAGCTTGAAAGAGTTTAACATTACTTCACGTATCCTTTCAGAGCTGCTTACTGATGTAGATAGCATTAGACGTGCTGTACTACAGAATCGAGCCGCAATTGATTTTCTGTTGCCAGCACAAGGACATGGATGCGAGGAGTTTGACGGAATGTGTTGTACGAATTTGTCAGTTCATTCACAGAGTATACACAAACAGCTGTCTGACCTTCGGCAACAGTTTAACAAGATTTTGTACAACACTGAGCCCTTTTCAGAATGGCTTAATTCACTGAACCTTAGGCCTTGGCTAACGGCACTGATAAAATGGATAATGTCAGTTTTGCTAGCTTTAGTAGGATTTTGTGTAATTTTGCCTTGTGTAGTGAATTGCCTACGATTGTCACTGAAACGCAGTATGTCTATCATGTTTAAAAGAAAAGGGGGAGGAGTTGGGGCCTACTACATAGAAACTTGGTGAAAGAGTAAAAGTCAGTGACGAACAGAAAGTGCTGAGGCAGATGGTTATGAAACTACTGAAGACAATGCAGCCTTTAGGTGCATTTCAGACAGGAAAGTAGGCCAGGAGAAACAGGAGATTTGACGCTCTGCACAAGAGCCTGTCACAGTGACTAGTTAGGTGCGTGCTCGCCGCGTGGACAGTAGCGTGTAACCAATCATGTAGTGCATGGACGGGGTATCTGACCAATCATGTAACACTTAACTTATGCTGTATGGAACTAACTACGCTATATAAGTAGCCTTCTGATTGGAATAAACTTGGCTTTACGGAGCATCATATTAGTGTGCTGTTCGTCCAGCTCGCAGGATTCCCCACAGTCACCCACTTTTCCCCAGGCAGCCAAAACTGAGTTTGAGCAGCGGGACATTTCTTGTTGGACCTGTCACCCCTATTACGTTTATAGTTTTCCTCGAGGATCTAACTCCTAGCTCCTTGACTTGTTGCTTATTTAAAACATCAGTTTGGGCCTCTGTGTCAATTAAAAATCTAAACTTATTCGCTTCAGACCGACGGGGATATGAATGTAAAGTTCCCTGTTAGCGGACTGTGGGGGAGAATTCACCATGACCCCACACTGCAACTCCTAGATTTTTTAACCCCTCTGTTTCCTCTCAGAAGGATGCAAAGGAGTGAACTGTGCTCTTCTGCAGAGGGGAATTGCCTGCATTTCTCCCAGGCCCTTTAACAATTCCACCACTTTTGGGGCATGGTTGGGGGGCAGTCCGTGCAGCATTGCCCAGGCTACCCGCAGTGCTAATGCTTTTTGCCATAGGTTGTTCACATCCAGATTGTGGATTAGATCAGGTTGTCCTCAGGAGGGTTCAGACTCCAGGGGAAGGGGTCTGTCAGGATTTGGTTTGTGAATTGGCACCCTGTGGCATCCCCTCTTATCCCTAACTTGTGTGCAGGCAGCTCCTGATACAGCACCAGAGCTTTTCCTCTGTGCAGTTGCCACCCGTGGACACACACATATACTCAAATGCCAACCTGATATGGAAGTTCTGCTTTGACTGAAGGCTTTGAAGATATTTTCCCTCCTGTGGCCACCCCAGTGAGCTAAAAGGCATGGCCAGCCACCAACACTGCACACTTTTTGGAGGCAGAGATGGTTTAACCCAAAAGGGTTTAATCTGATCCAGATTAAGGGAAAACATGCATTTTCCTGTTGCTGATGTCAGCCCCTGTGCAGCTGAAAAGGTCTGTGAGATCTGTGAAACAAATGCTTAAAAACATGCGGGGAAAAGCCTTATTTCCTTCACTTCCACAGCTCTTCCTGTTACTGAAAACAGTAACCAAGAAAACTCTCTAAACCAAACGATAGTTTAGAAAGCTGACACTGGTTTATTAACAAAGTCAGGCAAGTTTGAATGCTAGATGAAACTAATATACCGCGTTGAAAACTACAACATATTTCTGTTGTAACTTAATTAGTATAAACGTATCTAATTTTACAGTTATTGGTTAAGTATATTTAAACTAGCCTCGCTTCTCATGCCAATTGGCACGCATACTCCTTGCAGGTGTGTGGGGGGGCAAATTTTCTTTGGCTTGAATTGAGTTGGTGGTCACAATCTCCCACTGCCACCTTTAACTTGGGCTGACTTTCAGCCTTTCGCAAACAACTTGTGATGTTTGCATACCCTCTAATCTCCAACACAAAAACTTTTGAGTGGGAGACCTTTGCTTTGATCTTGTCCAAAACATCCTAAAGGACGAACAGCCTATTAAAACTTTCTAAGTAACCGTCTGCTTATTATCTCTAGGTACACACTATCTTGTTATCTTTTCTACTAATTGGCTCAAAGATTTGATTGTTGCCTTTCCCATCCTCAAAGCAGCATTCTCTGAAGGACTGATTTACCATCCTTAATGCAGTAAAGATTGTTTTGCCATCCTTAAGGCAACATTCCCAGCCTCTCATCCAGGCTTGGGGCTGGTTGCTCCTGGCTCCTCGCTGCACCCCATGGTATTGTCTACAGGAACAAGAGTCCTGTGAGGACCCAGGTCCCTGTAGCGGTCACAGATCTGGTCCCAACGACCTGACCTCTGTGTGTGCTGGGGAAGAAAGAGCCCTGGAGAGGAAACTCCATTTTCAAGGGTGGGCAAAGGCACAGGGTCCTGGAAGTCCCTGCCAGGGTGGGCCAACCGTGGAAGGGCAGAAGGTCCCCAAGGAGGAATGACTGTTAGCAGTGGGAGGGAGATGGGAGTGGGGGTTTTGTTACTGGGAGGAGTGGATCTCAGCATTCATGGTTGGGTGGACTTGAGGACCTTGACCCCAGGCGTTCTCAACTCACCCATGAGCTCCTGGACCAGCAGGGCTGACACTGAACTGGCAACCCCAAATCACACAGCTACCTGTGCCACACAGGGAGGCACAGGCCCACTCCTTGCTCTGTGTCTGGTGGGCTGTGGGTGATGAGGATGTGGGACCAGTAGGGAGCAGAGGCGACCCAGCATGCCTGTGGACAACACGCAGACCAGCACAGTGACATCTGCCCCTGCAGCAGACACACACGCTTCTCAGCTCCCAGCTCAGGCTGTCACCGTGCCACAGCCGCCTTCTCCTGCTTCTCTGTGCGTATGTATTTCAAGTGTGTAAACACAAGTGTACGTGCCATTAGCACAGGGATGTGATGGTGCTGCGGCCACCGTGGAAAATGCAACAAGAGTTGCGGTGGGGAACACAGGAGGTGGGAAAGATATTTTTGAATAAAACTCACTCTTGTTCTGAAGGTACCAGGACAGAAGCACAGACATGCCAGAGCCTGAGGGTCCTGTGTTAGCCCCAGCCCACTGGTGCTCTGGGCAAAACACAGCTGCTTCTGTGAAAAGCAACAAAGTTTAAGTCAATCTGAGCCAGCACTCAGCAGCTGCAGAGCATCCCCAGCACCAGTGTTACCTCATCTTCTCTGTTCTTTCTCATGGCAGACAATGGACAAAACCCTGCACCCCCAAGCCCCAGGGAGGCACAGGTTGTCCCAGCTCTTCCACCACAGTGTATTACGCCCACACCCACAGCCGTGGGGGGTCTCACTCCATAGAGAAGCAGCTCCCACATGACAGGCTCCCAACAAGGTTTGTGCCGAGGAAGCTGAGTGGGACTGTGATTCCCACACCATCACCATCACTCTCCCGCTGCCACCTTCTGTGTCTCAGTGCTGGGGATGGTCCAGGCAGAAATAGAGGTAGGTTTGTTGCTCTCGGACCTCTCTGAGCACAGAGTGATGCTGTCACCAGCTCTGCACACTGCTGGTGTCCACAGAGAAGCTGAGCTGTCCACAGAAGGTTTGGCTTTTGGTTTGTTTTATTTTACCTTCTCGCTGAACTCATCCCAGCATGGGTCTGCAAGAGAAAGTCTCTTTTATCTGATAACCTCAGCATTGTCCTGACCATGCAGCGTACAAACATCCAATTCTGTCCTCTGGCGCTGCAAGAGGACAGCAAGAAATAAATAACACTCAAGTGGGAGGACAAATTTTGCTGTTTATTGCTGGTATTACTCAGAGAAGGGGGAATCAACCACAACCCAGGCAATCTCCTTGCAGTGTGTTTCCCAAGGGCTAGGGGAGTGGCGGCTCCTGTCCACAGCAGCTCCACAGGGGGCAGCGAGGATGGCAGCATCTGCAATGCGATGGGAGAGGAAGGTGAGGGAGCAAGGCCATGCTTCACCACACCGGGTGTGGGGTGTGTGTTGGCTGGACCAATGTGACAGGCCTTGAGGAGACCCCACCCCATACTGCAAGCTCCCACCAACATTTTGCAGTGGGACAGGTCACCCCTTCACCTGGCCATCACTGTTTGAGCACTGCAGCACCCTGCGTTTTACATCAGGTGTTAGTGGAAAGGGAGACTCTGCAAAGCTGCTCAGATCTCTGCAGCAGAGACTATATAAACCCATGTCGGCATGCACAGCTCACCAGAATATGCCCAGCTCCTTCCTCCGTTTGATATCTCTCTTCAGCTGGCAGAGCGTGCACATGGGCAAACACGCAAGGGCACATGCATCATTCAGAATGGAGCCCTGTGGAGCAAGGGACAGTGTATGAATAACCCTTTCTTATATCAGCTTTTAAGTTTCCCTATTTTTCATCGTCAACACCGCTGGGCAGCTCAGCCCTGGCCCCACAGCATGCTGCTGCTCATGCTTAGTGAGGACCGGGATTACCCCTGGCTCGCAACAGGGATGCAGGTATGTCCCTGGCTCCCTGCCTGCAGGGCTGCCCATGGAACACCCAGACACTGCCCTTCCCCTTGGCCACCCCTTTCTTCTTTCCTCGCCCACTCCCCAGCACCCAGCTGGCGACTGTCACAGCCAGCGGGGCAGACCTCACTGTTGGTCACTGACCGGGATTTTGTATTTGGTGCGGTAGAGAGTCCTCATGGCCACGGTGGCGCCGCACAGGCAGCACTCGTCCATGGCAGTGGCCACTTGGCAGCTCAGGCAGGGGAAGCAGAAGGCTCCACAAATACCTGGGGGACAGAAAGACACTTGGCTTGGCTGAGGGATGCGAAGAAAGAGGAAAGCAGGGGGAGCTGGCTCGGGATGCAGTCGTGGGAGCCATGGCTCTCGATGAGAGATGAGAGCTGCTCTGCTGCTGGTACCCACAAAAGTGGGGTTTGCAGCAGAGGCAATGCTACAAAAGGAACAGGGAAAACCCCACAAATACATTGTAAGACAACACCAGGAACAAGGGATAAGTATGCACTCACACACGCCACAGTCAGAGCAGCAGTCCAGCAGCCCTGTCTGCCACTCGCCTGCCTGCTGGGTAGTCAAAAACTGGGGCTGGACCGTGATCACTTGAGGGTGAGAGGCCATTGCCAGCACGGAGTCAGGTCCCTCCAGGAAGTTTGTGGTCTGGAAGGAAAAGCCATCAGAGAAAGATGCTGCAGCTGTTTCTGAGGTGGGTGTCTCACTCAGGCTGCTGCATTTAGTACGACTGCTAAATACTACCCTTTAGTAGTATTGTCAATCCAATACTACCATGACTACTACCATTTAGTAGTCGTGGTAGTATTTAGTAGTCGTGGTAGTATTGGGTTGACAGTTGGACTTGATGATCTTAGAGGTCTTTCCCAATCTTAACGGTTTTATGATTCTATGATTTGAAGATGGAGAGGGCAGCACAGGCCACTGTTGAGTCCCCACTGCTGGGCACTGCTATCCCCATTTTAAAATGGGGGGCACAGCTCTGCCAGGAGTCTGCCACTGTCCTCTGCAGAAAAGCCCTCTCCAAAAACAGCCCCCAATTAATCCCGTTCCCCTGCCCATGCAAGTAAAATGCCTCTATAAAAACAGAGGTCCTTCTGCTTCAGAGCCTCAAGTGCTTCAAATCTTCAATTCCACCTTCTCATCTTCCATTCATCTTTCATCATTATTTCCTTAAAATGGTATTTTTTGTGTATGTTCACAGTGCCCCAAAGCTCAGTCTTAGATTTCCCAGGGTCTCAGTAGTCACCTTAATCCTTGTTTTGTTCCCTGAGCATCTCAGCCTGTTTACCTCCCCCTCTCCCTTCCTTCTTCACCTGCTTTCTTAGCAGGCTTCAAGGCACTGGGTTTTCTTTGTCCTTTTCCATCACCTTAAGCCCAGTCACCAGTTCCCATCCCTCCTCCACTTGCCCGTCTGTGCCAGTGCCTCATCCTTGTTCTCCTCTTCCTCAGTTCCCTGGGGCCACCATAGCCGCTGCAGCACTGCTCCATCCTTCCCCAGCAAGGGGCTGCATCGTCTGAGAGCAGCAGAGCTCCTGCTCTGCAGCATCATCCTCAATCCCACCTCACCCATGTAATGACTCCATCTCCATCTGCAGCCCTTTCCCTTCCTGCCACCCCCGCAAGGCATAGGCATCACCCTCTGCCATTCATACTTCACCTTTGGAGCTTTAATTAAAAAAAAAACACAACAAACAGAGGATGCTCCCAGCGGAAATCCCACACTGACACATGCCCTGCCCTGTGCCCAAGCTCGGCACCACTCTGTGGAGCAGCATGGGGATGAGACAGATGCAAAGGCTCCCGTGCTCTTACAGCTACAAGGGCTCTCTCCCGCTCCCAGCACACAGCCACATGTCCTCATAGGAAAGCAGCCTGAGCTTTGGACACCATAACTGCTGCTTTGCATGGGAAGGGTCCCAGGGTAGCTCCCCAGGGAGGTCCTCTCCAGCTGCAGAACAGAGCACCTTCATGCAGTTCGTGTCCTGCCTGTCCCTGCCCAGCTTTAGCACTTGTCCTGCTTGCAGTGGCAGGACCACTGCCTTCCTGCTTGCAGTGGCAGCACCACGGCCTGGCTGGGTGACAGCCGGGGTGGGGAGTGCCCTCCCTTCCCTGCCCTTGTGTGACAAAGGAGTGCCTGAAGGTCAGGATGCTAGGGGAAGCATTTGCATTTTAAAGCAAGGCACTAATGCCTGTAAATTCTACTAAAACACTATAAAGGGAATGGGATTGTTTTCACCTCGGAATTTCACATTTACATGGAATTTAAGTGTAAAACACAAGCAGTATGGTGAAATAAATATATTAGTACACCCAGCACTCAGATCATGCCATGCAGCTCATTGACTGCATCCAACCCCAGAGAGATAACAGCCTGTTTGTATTGACTGTTACCAACGGGGGGCAAAGGGTGGGGTGGCTCTGCCAGCAGCTCCTGCAGCCACCCATCATTTACAGACTCCTGGACATACCCTGCTGTCAGACACATTCTGTTGCCATATGGGCAACACCTGTCCCCTGGTAGTACACAAAAAGAGACGTTAAACTATGCCATCGGAGGGACAAAAGCTTGTAAAAAGTCTTTAAATTATTTGCTCATGACTTTTTTGCAGCTTTCTGCAGGCAATGGAAGCTGGGGTGGGCTGACCCTATCTGAGACACTGGTATCTGCTCCTATTAGGTGACAACTGGCCTTGAAGGGCAAACTGACAGCTTGGGTTACTTGAGTCACTGGCCTCCGCCAAGGGTTAATAGAAAAGGGTGGAGTTTTGCTGTTACTAAAAAGGGCTGTTAAGCAATAAAACTGCTGTTGTGTCCTCTCTGGAGTAAGTTATCTGGCTGTTGGCAGGGACCTTTGGAGCAACCACATGCAACTCCACCACCCATGGGTGCAGCAGGGACTGCAGCACCCATCGTCTCTTGCCAGACACTTTTCTGCTTCTGGCCTGGCAAGCTGCCCCTGCTCATTCATGCGTGAGGCCCCGGCTAATTTCTGTCACATCTGCAGCGAACGTAACACCGCTGTGCACGCCAAAACGGCAGTGCCTGCAGAGAACCTGGGCATGGGACAATTTAAGAAGCAGCAGGAGCCGGAAGGGGCAGGGCAGGGGGTCTCATGCAGGGACAGGGATGCGCAGCAGCAGGCAGGATGACAGGGACCATGGAGAAGGTTTAGGGCCAGGACCCCACCCGCCTCCAGTGCCAAAGGAGGCATTCCCTCACCAACAGATAATGAGATTATTCTCAGAGCATGGTGAAAAATCCATCCTAGTGGTTCCACCAACACACACAGTGCCCTTCACACCAGGGCTGACCATGGACATTCCCCTCCTCTCCCCAGGTATGAGCCCACCACATCCCCGCACAGACAGAGGCTGTGATGCGGAGCAGGCAGCAGCCTGGAAATGTCTTCACCACACAACCATCTTCTGAGAGGTGGTCCAGGCCCAGCACGTCACCCCGAGTGCCCCCAAATCTACAGCTCCCCGGCACCACCAGCGGCAGTTGGAATGGCTGATAGGAGCAAGAGATGCCAAGGCGCATGCAGCCGCGTTTTACTGATAACCAAGGTCATAAAGCAGCATTTTGTTATGTGTAGGCACATTTATGTGCGCAAATGAAAAGTACAGTGCAAAACGAGTCACCCCTTACCTCTGCTGCCCACTTCTCTTGAGACGCCTGTCAGCACCAGCTAATGTGCTCCAATTTAGCTCTGAAATAGTTTTCCAGGTAGCAATGCTCGCCTCTGTTTCCACCCCTTCCCCAGCAACATCACTTCAGCCAGGTGCGCTTTCTGTAAGTTCGCACGGCAGCTCTTGACAAAGCAAAACCAAACCATACATACCTGCCCAGCCGCTCTCGTACGGGGAAGACGTGTGTCCTCTTCCTGGTTCTCACCTTTTATATACTCTGGGCGCTTCATGGCAACTGACCTCTGCTCCCTCTAACAACCGACATAGGCTTAGGTGTTGTTTTGTGCAATGCAGCCTCTCTGCTGGGGACAGTCAGCTGCAAGTTTGCTCCAAGCTTGATGCCACTTCTGGTGGGCTCCTGCTGCCCCTCCTCACCTTTTCCCATCCCAGCATCCCACAGGACCAGAGTCCTGATGGGACACATCATTCTCAGTAGCAGTTTTCAAAGAACACTTTGCATTCGGGATCCTGTGCTGCCTTAAACGATCAGTGCAGTGCCTTACGTGGCTGTGCAGTGCCTTTCCTTCATTGCGCCTGAGCCATCACCAAACAACTGATCCTTAACTCCACAAGGTGCCACAAGCACTGCCTCGAGGTACATCTACAAGATCGTACCACTCTGTGCTTGGGATGAGATGGCAGCGTGGTATTTCTTCTCTCCCCCTCTCTACTTTCTTGGCCTTCACTTCTTTCAGGCTAAAAACGCAGTTTTCTGTATTTCCAGGGTTAACCCACAGGACTGTCTGGGCCAGCTGGGGTTTAGGCAGGAGGGAGTGCTGCCACAGGGACCAACCTGCAGTACTGACAGAACCACTACCTGCCCTTTACAAGGTTTGTGGTGAAGGTGAAGGCAGTTGAGAGAAAAAAAAAAATCCTCTTTTCCTTACAGAGTGAAGCTGTGGAAGATTTGTAGCATTCAAAAATCCTTTAGCATCTCTCTGAAACTAATGGAGACGGGGTGGATGTAACCTTTGCCTTCTGGATGGAGAGGGTAAGGTTAACAGCCCAGTGCAGGTGAGCTCTTCCCAGCTGTGGTGGGGAGGCGGCAGAGTTTGACCCCGGAGAGGACTTGGTGAACCCACAACCCAACCCAACCAGGTTTTTAATTGCAGGCGGGTGGGAATTCATGCTCAGGGTCTGTCGGGGAGCACGTCTCTGCGATGCAGGAGGTGGGCTGGCACCAAGCAGCCCAAAATCCCTGTGGCTCTATACTCAGAAAGGTGAGACTAGCCAGCAGTCCTGGAGAGCCACCTAGGCCACCAACGAAGGGGAAACTGGGCACTCGGTGCCCTGCAGACACCACCCATCTTTGGGAAGCCCCAGTTCTGCCCTGGAGCAGAAGTCACTTTTCCAAATTTTACAATTTGGATGAACAACAGCGACACCTCCTGTGCACTAAACATCCTTTCTAAAAGCTGAGAGACTAACAAAATACTAGTGGTAATCTTACCCTGATGTGGGCATAGGGAAATCTCAGTTGCATCAGGGACAGAGCGGGAGAAGGATGAGTGCTCTAAAGCTGTGCAAGAGTGACACACACAGAGGCACGAAGGAAAACTCCGCTGTTTATTCATAATATTGCTCAGGGAAGAGGGAATCAACCACAGTCAACGCAACCCCCCCATGTGGCATTTCCCAAGGGCCAGTGCAGTGCTGACTCCTTCCCACTGCAGTTCCGCAGGGCGCAGCAAGGATGGCGGCATCTGCAACGGAACGGAAGAGGATAGGGGGCTGGTTAGCTCAGTCAGTCGAGCGTAGCGCCAACAACGCTAAGGTCGCGGCTTCAATTCCGGTTTGCTCCCCATGTGTTGCCTGATCTAGTCGAGAGGTGGCGTCCCTGGTGGCAGGGAGGCTGGATTAAAATGATCTCTAAGGTCCCTTCCAGCTTAGGCCATTCTATGATCAGGGAGAGGGGCTGTGCCTCACCACACCAGCTCTGTGTGTCCCCGGTTCTGCTCCGCCCTCCTCGCCCTGCAACATTTCGCTGCAGGTCAGGTCAGCCTTGTCACCCGTCCATGGCCATCTCCCTACTGCAGCAACCCTGTGTCTTGTGGCAGGAGGAGAGACCCCAAGAAGCTGTGCGGGTGTGTGTGTGGTGGGAGCTGCGTAATTGAGTGCCAGCACGCTCAGCTTACCAGAACACGCCCAGCTCCCTCCTCCGGTTGATGTCTCTCTTCATTTGGCAAACAGAGCACATAGAGCACCACATGGTGACACAGAAGTCAGAGCAAATGGACCCCTGTTCAGAAGAAATTGGTTAGGGATGGAGGCTTCCCAAAAAACATGTTTCAGTCGAGAAAAGGTTAATCCCATTCCGCATGTGTGCCCTTTGTTTTCTGGCTGGCTGCAGCATCCTCAGCAGCAGAAACTAAAAACCAGGGCCGGTGAACCCCCACACAGTGGAATGGAAAGAGGAAGCTCTTTCTGCAGGCTGCAGGTAGCTACTTATCTTTTGGCTTTTGAGGTTAAGACTGGGGGGAAATACATGCACAGAAAGAGAAAATTTGGGCAAACTGGATGTAGGCCACCATAGAGGGGGGCACTGACCCCTGATACATGTACTGTATACAAGTACCCACCTTTCTCCCACATCTGACTATGGATATTTATCTGTGCAACTAACATACTCTGTTTTTTAGTCTTATGTTAAATCTTTCGCATCTTTGAAAAACTGGGGATGGCATGGGGAAGCAGCAGCCGAGGCTCTACGTGCCAGTGTGGTAGGCAGCAGCTGAAAGCAGGACACATGTCCCCAGTGAAGGGTGTTGGAAAGGCACTGTGTCTGATTAACATGCATTGTTGGACACTAGTTCAAGGGTCAGCACGGCCAAGGGGAGCCCGTTTGTCCTGTGCTCCTGGCATCATGCAGGGTACAAAAGTGCTGCCCTGTGCTCATCCCTGATATGCAAAGAGAGGGGTTTTGGGGGCACCTCATGTTGCAGGCTCTCAGCACGGTGAGGGCCGGGTTAACCACTGACCGGGATGTTGTATCTGGTGCGGTAGAGGGTCCTCATGGCCACGCTGGTCCCGCACAGGCAGCACTCACCCATGTCACTGGCCACTTGGCAGGCAAGGCAGGGGAAGCAGAACATCCCGCAGCAGCCTGGCAGAGAAGAAAAGCAATGGTGAGAGAGGCTCTGCCTGCCTGCCCGGCACCGCCACAACCAGAGGAGGACCTGGGAGAACCAGGCTACGTGGCCGTAGCCATCACATCACCGACTGGAGTGGCAGGGGTGAGAAAAGTGTACTGAGATGGCATGGGACCCCCTGCAGCATGGGACAGCCTGAGGCACTCACAGACACCGCAGTCGCTGCAGCAGTCCATCAGCCCCGTCTGCCAAACGTTCCTTGAGACAGTGGGCACAACCACACCGTACTGTGGCTGGATCGTCACCACGGATGGGGTGGCCATTCCTAGTTGCTCTTCTGAAAGAGACGGGAGGGGAACAGCACAGTGAAAAACTGTGGTCGCTCCAATTATCATAGTTCACCAATTTCCCTTGTGCCAAGCAGGACTGTGCAGTGAACTGAGGCTAAAGGGAGTGATTCGGACATTTTCATCGTTGAACTTGGCATATTTTGCATAAGATTGCTTTGGCATGGGTACAAACATGCGGGAAGCAGTTGTAGTCTTGTATTTCCTCATAACAAAGCTGGGCTTCACGCGAGAGAGATACTGCAGAAAACCAGTATCTCTAGTTTCTTGCCATAGAGGGCCAGAAAGGCAGAAACTCAATGCTATGTACGTCCCAAGTCTGAACCCCAGTCCTTGCCTTCCTGCAGTTAAGCAGGTAAACCTTCAAAAGCATTAAGCCTCAGATCTACAAAACCCCACAAAAATCTTGGTGTTCCTGTTCTCCTAGCCAAGTAAAACACAGCACAAAACATTATCAGATAACAATTAAAAGCAAGCTTTGTCCTGAGGCCAAGTTCTTCTAACTATGCACCAACAGAAGAAAAGGGGAAAAAAAAGATACACTGCTCACATTTGTTCAGACTTTTGCAACTTTCTTTTTTCTTTCTCTTTCTTTTTTATAGAAATAGCAATTTGGCAGAGGCAGAAGCAGGCTGCTGGGTGGTCAGGCTCCTCCCTGAACATCTTCTGAGCTCAGAAGCCTGAACAGAAACTAAATTGTGGGGGAGGGGGGCACCCTTCATCTCCACCTTTCGGGACAATGCACATTGCTCCAGAAATCCCACTCCTGGCTTCACCTGGCAGCAACGTGCAAACCTGGCATGAATGCAACCAGAGGCTGTATCATCTGTCTGTCCAGAGGGAAACGGTGAGCGTGCGCTGCCTCCACACACTTCCCTCTGCTAACCCACAGCACTGCTATCAACATGTGGCAAATCTATTTTCCACACTTTTACAAATGCACAGGGTTCTGTATAAGAGTATTATTCACATACTTTCTTCTCTCTTGGCAGCAAGCATTAACAAAGGGACTGCAACATTAAGATGCTCTCTCTTGTCACCACCAGCACAGCCCACTGAAAAGGACAGCAAGTGCACAGGGAGAGCAGGCAGCAACACACAAAAGCGACTGACATCCAAGCTTCTGGCAGGACAGCAGCTACCTCCAGCACATCCTCAGAGCCCACCAGAAAACACAAACAGCTAAGCAGCCTTGCTAGGAGGAATTTGGTCGTGACTGTCCATGTAGACAAGACAGAACCCAATTGAAACAGAGAGCAAAGCACGAGTCAGGTTCCTTTCACACAGTTAGACAATTCTGGTAGCAAGAGAAAGCAGCAAAGAAATAACCTCTCCATAATCCAGCTTTTGGGCATAGCTTTTAAAAGCCTCCCTCATTCCTCCAGTAGGATTTGCCATATATTTTGCCTTAAATTATGTTCTGAGCTGGAAAAAAATTAAATCTCTACCTTTGCACTATTACCTCACCCTTCCCAGGTTAACAAGATTTTACTATTTCCATTCTTTAAGAGAACCCACCTTCTGGCGAACAGCCTCTGTCCGTGCAGGCTTCTCTGTCAGCTGGGGTCTTGCACAGAGAGGCTCCGGGGAAATTGAAACTAAACTTTCCCACTCTTCTAGAGTCTTATTGGCAGACAGCACTGAGCCACTATAATAGTAGGAGGTAACTGAGGTTAGGAACTGTGCCCTGTCAGAAGGACTACAGGCTTAGCACATGTGCAACTTTTCTTTTTTCTCTCCCCCCCTCCTTTTTCCAGAAATCATACACTGCTATTCATCTTTTCAAGAAAATGACTGCATGGATGTTGTCTCACTCCCTTAGGTCTGTGTGCATGTGGTTGTTGTTTGGTGGGAGAAAAGCTCTGAATGATGTGCATTTGTTAGGATAGACATTTTTCCAACATTTTTCCCCGAAGAAAAAAAGCATATTTTTCAAATCCCAGACCAGACTAAATAAAGACAGCCTCAGAGTGCTTCACTCCGAGGATTTCCCTTTCCTCAAGGTAAAGACTTTTCAGATGAAGGGGTTGTGCAGATCTGCTTGCTTTCATGACCAGGCTTGGGCAACAGTGGGTGGGCAGCATGGTGGCAAAAGGGGGCCATGGCAGGGGCTTCTGGGTGGACCGACACTTTTATCTGCCCCAGATAAAGCAGACAGCCTTTAATCCTTCCCTCCACCTGCAGCAAGTGTGCTCCCTGATCCTTCTTAGGGATGCATTTGGGTTGTTTGGAGGCTTTCTGTAAAAATTAAGCTGATTATCTCAAGTCCTTCTCACAAGCCACGTAACCCAGCTATTGTAAAACTGAGTCCTTAACATGCAGGCATCCATTTCCCTCTACGGGATATTAATATTTACTGTTTCTTCACTAATATGCCCCAAATATTTAACTGCTCATGGCCTGTGCAAGCCAGTGGCAGTTTTGGGTGCACTTCCACATTTCATAGAGAAACTGTTAGACCGGGAGAGCGGTTTCTGTTTCCCAACGCGATGCACAGCGTGCTGAGAGCACAGAGTGGGTCTGAGCAGCTGCTTGCCCAGGAGCAGCACAAGCCCTGAGTATCCCACTCAAAGTGCTGATGGTCCCCTTCTCTCTTGCTGAGAATGGGGGAAGGAGAAATTAGGGTTAAACTGGAACTTACTAGCTTTTGGGCTTTTGTCAGCAGGCTAGAATTTATGATGCATTAAATGGAGACTTTCACCAATAGTGCTGATGAGGTAACATGGATTGTTTTTTTCAGAGGCATTGCAAGAGTCTGTGGCAATTTTGGTTTGGAGTTCAGCAGATGCTTTCTAGAAGAGAAGGTACTGGACACCCCACCGGCTGGCTAGACTAGGCTCATCCAAAGTGCCAGCTAGACCAGGAGAGTGATGGGGAGGGAGGGAAATGCCAAGTTGAAATGCAGGGTGTCGCATCCCGAGCCTTCAGGACCATCACTTAGGTTCGACGATTCCCAGGCCAGGATTAATGTGAATCAACACCAGGGATCCTAACACCACTTCGATCATCTGGTGGTGGGCGAGAGCATGCCAGCTCCCTGCATTACCACCTTTCATACAGCCAAATTCCCACCGCATCCTTGTGGAAAATTATCAGGAATGGGTCTGAGGGATGGTAGAGGCCTCTGAGGGGGCATCACCCCTCCCTCTGCCAGCTTGACTTGTTTCGTTTTTGCAGCCACGGCTCCAAGCCCTGCCTGCTCCCAAATCCCTACCAGGGCACGGCTTGTGCAGTTGACTCCGAAAACTGCTGAGTCAGATATGTGCAGACACGGACAAGAACCAGGCAGGCAGATGTGGCCAATTTAGGTTCCGAAAAGGCCCAAACTGTTTGAGACATCCATTCAGCAGTCCCTTACACAGGGCTGGTAAAGGAGAAGACCTTATTGTGGCCTTCCAGTATCTCAAGGGGGCCTACAAGAAAGCTGGTGAGGGGCTTTTTAGGATGTCGGATAGTGATAGGACTACGGGGAATGGATTGAAGCTAGAGATGGATCAGTTCAGATTCAACATTAGGAATAAGTTCTTCCCCATGAAGGTGGTGAGACACTGGCACAGGTTGCCCAGAGAAATGATGGAAGCCCCATCTCTGGAAGTTTTTAAGGCCAGGGGGGATGGGGCTCTGGGCAGCCTGATCTAGTGGGGTATGTCCCTGCCCATGGCAGGAACTAGATGATCTTTAAGGTCCCTTCCAACCCTGACAATTCTATGATTCTATAAAAGGAAAAAAAAATCATCAGTAACATTTTAAGGATTTTTACAGTCAGTCCTTTCTTCAGAGCTGGCGTGACATTGACTGTCTGAGCAACCACAGAAAAGCAGCCCATTTCTACCTGTAATCCTGATGCATCAAAGTGCAACTGCCCTTTATCACCCTGAGAAACCACCATCATAAACACCCATCTCGGCTCATTCCCTGCACCTGGCGTTTAAGTCAAGGAAAAAAAATACCATGCAAAAATCTCTCCAGTGAAATCAAAACACAAACTCCTGAAATTCGCAGCAAGAGCATCACCCTCGCCCAGCGCTGGCCCAGAGCACCCATCACCTCCCATCACAGCCGATGTGGTTTCTGGCCCGACCCCACCACAGGGCCTGGCCAGGGCTCCGCTGATGGCTGGTGCCCACAGTCCCCTTTGTGTGTCACTACTCCGGGTCTGGGAAGATGGGTGGCCGGCTGGCAAGCACGCCTCTCTTAGCCACAGCAAGACCACAGAGAGCAGAATGTCTCAACAGCTAGGAAGAAAGGGAACATGCTGTCAAAATCAAACCTATAACGCCTTCTTCGATGTGGTAAAAGAGATTATTTCCAAGCAGACAGTGGAAAACTTCAGCTGAAATTAATCTTCACCAATTATATGTATTACGGTAAATGTGATTTTGATAAAGATTCAGGAATATAGATTAAAAAAAAGTCTCCAAACACATTTTTGCTTTCTCGGCAAAAAATGAAGTATAAAATTATGAGTTTTACCATTGTACTTTACAGAGAAGTGGGAACCACTAAGTGGATTATTCCATTTCAGAGCAATGCCATCTACATGCAAGTGTCCCCACCTCTTCTCCGTCCTATTTGAAACAACTCCATCACACAACTTAAAACACTACCACGAGTAAGCAAAGCCACGCTCCCCAGAAAGCTGCCTAGTGCTCCTAGTTACACTCCTCTCCCCCAAATCTTGCATCCTTCCCCCAACTTGGAATGACTCAGGTGGAAAATCCCTGCAACTATAAAAGCTGGAGGAGAAAGGAGGTGAGCAAGTGCCAGGGGAAATTATCACAGTCCTTAGAAATACGGCTAAGGGTAAGTTTCACATCTCCCTGAAACTAAAGCAGCTGCAGTTGGTACAAGGAGAGGGCTGTTCCATGCTGTCCTGGTAACAGCTGGGATAGAGTTAATTTTCTTTGTAGTTGCTGGTATAGTGCCTTGTTTTGGATTTAGTGCGAGAATAATGGTGATAAGACACTGATGTTTCA